AGAAACACACGGCGTTACGCAATGGTGATGCGCCCTTCTAACTTCGAACCTGGGCGGAGTTATCCTGTACTCCACTATATCTACGGTGGTCCGGGAATTCAACTAGTTCGAAATGACTATAGCACGTAAGGAAATACAAACTTATAACATGCATGAGTATCTCTGATATCTTTTCAGATGGATCCCATTCCAAAAATATACGAAACTTGGATTTGTTGTGGTAATGTTAGATGGACGGGGATCCAGCAATCGAGGCACTGAGTTTGAGTTTCCCATCTTCGGAAAATTGGTAAGCAAAAAATTGAATGTCCTGCTTGAAGAAAGCTGCTCAAATAAGCTTCCTTAGGGTCAGTGCGAGGTTGAAGATCAAGTTGAAGGTTTGCGTGAAGTTGCTCAGATCATGGATGGAATGCTGGATTTGAGTCGAGTAGTGGTTCAAGGATGGAGTTACGGCGGTTACATGTCGCTGTTAGCACTAGCGAAATACCCAGATGTAAGAGTTACCTGCTATTTGTAATCAAAAGATGTGCGGGTATACCCTTACTCTGTAGGTTTTCCGTGCAGCAATAGCAGGAGGGGCGGTAACTGATTGGAAGTTGTACGACACTGCTTATACGGAACGATATCTAGGATATGGATCGGATCGAGATCCGTTCTATGATGAGTCTTCAGTCATTAAGCATGTCGAAAAGCTTCCAGACCAGTGAGTTCAAATTTTGTTTTAAATCTTTTGCTTACCATCTTTGCCTTTTCTTCAGACCTGGTCGTCTTCTAATCGTTCACGGCCTTTTGGATGAGAATGTCCATTTTCGGCACACGGAAGCACTTATAGAACAACTGATCAAAGCAGGGAAGCCTTATCAGTTGCAGGTAACTTGTCGCATGACTAGCTATTCATCACGACAGAAATGGCTGCTAAAGGCCCATTTTCATAGCATTGCATGAAATGGTGTAATTAAAAGTCTTAAGATGCATCCTCTTTATTTGTATGGAAGGCTTTTCAAAGTTATGCCACACATAAGCATTTAACCAGTGTTCGACGATAATATGTGAAGAACCCCACATGTAAATAATTACCTCTGGCGATCACATATGTGATTTTCTTATCTAATTTAATGGA